TAGATTAAAAAAAAAATTTTTTTTTAATTTTTAATTAAAAGAAGCTGGTCACAGAGTACAAAAAAGCCCGTCGAGAATTGAACAAGGCCATAAAAGATAACAAAAACGTTGCTGGAAGAAACTCGTCGAAGAGGTAAAAGAAGATCCATGGGGCAGACCGTGTAAGGTGGTCATGACCCATCTAAAAAACCAGCCAATGCCGTCACCTACGTGTCCTTAGCTTCTAGAGAGGATTGTCTCCACACTGTTACCACAACAACGTGAGTTTACCTACCCATGTGAGCAACTTAACCCTGAAGATATTTCAGCAATCACTCTGGATGAACTGATGGAGGCATGTAATCGTGTAGGAAATAATAAGGCACCAGGATTGGATGGAATCACAAACATTGCATTAAAAACAGCTATTAAAGCAGCGCCAGCACTATTCCTAGAAACCTACGATACGTGTCTCAAAGAAGGAACCTTTCCTAGAAGATGGAAGCAACAGAGACTAGTCTTGCTTCCCAAAGGAAAAAAGCCACCAGGAGCCATCATCTAACCGCCCACTCCGTATGTTAAATACGGCGAGTAAGATATTAGAGCGTATAATCCATCAAAGGACAGAAGCAATTGTGGATCCACTTTTCGCAAACAACCAATATGGTTTCCGGAAAGGACGATCAACTCTCGACGCAATCAACCTGGTTGTCAATACAGCTAAGGATGCAATTGCTGGAAGTAGATGGAGGCGTGGTACGAAAAAAAATTGTTTGGTGGCTGCCCTGGACATCAAGAATGCCTTCAATTCCGCTAACTAGGACTGCATTATGCGGGCCCTAGAAGACAAAGAAGTACCAGAATACCTGCGTAGAATGGTAGCAAACTACTTCACAAACCAAGTTCATAAATACGATACAAAAAGTGGTCCAAAGGAGTACGAAATAACCGGAGGAGTACCACAGGGCTCAGTTCTGGGTTCTTTGTTATGGAACATCATGTATGATGGCCTCCTGAGAATCGCGTTGCCATCAGAGGTCAAGCTTGTTGCATATGCCGATGATGTAGCCGTAGTGATTGTTGCGAAACAACTGGAAGAGATAAATCTGGCCTTCGATATCACATTTAGCGGGATTAATCTATGGATGGAGATAATGAACTTGGAACTAGCCAAGCATAAAACAGAAGCAGTACTTATTACGAGCAGAAAAATAATAGAAACTATCAAGCTGGATGTCGATGGACAAGAAATCACATTGCAACCTTATATCCGATATTTGGGAGTGATGCTTGATGCCCGACTCAATTTCAAGCAGCAGGTGGAACACGTCAGTACCAAAGCGTCAGTAGTGAGAGGTAGCCTAGCGCGAATGATGCCCAACGTTGGTGGGCCAAAGCAGAGCAGAAGACTACTGTTATTATCTGTAGTCACATCAGTCCTCACATATGGAATATCCATTTGGGCCGACACTCTCGAGGTGCAAGAATCATGGAGAAAGGCTGGACCAATATACTGACTGAGAGGAAAGAAAGAAAAGAGGTTTAGGGTTTAGTGGGTAGGGGCGTTAGCGTCGAGTTTTAGTATGACGCTGCGTCGAGTCACCACATAACCAGGCCAAACAGCTATGCCTGGAATCCGTAAAAAGGATTCCCCCCCCCCCTGAGGAAAAAAAAATCCCATCCCTGCAACTTCCGCTAACTCTATACCTATACACTCAACATTTCACTCATTTTGTTTTTGAGCTCTTCGAGCTCAAAAGTACGATTTCTGTGTTATTTTGAGTTCTCCGAGCTCAAAGAGATAGCTTCTTTATACTTTTGAGCTCTTCGAGTGTTTGATAAAACACTATTTTTTGAATTTTCAAACCGCAATAACTTTTGAATGAATGGACCGATTTTTTCGCGGTTGGTGTCAGTCGAAGCAGTTTCTAAAACCACATAACGGATCTTGAAGTTTAAATCGATCGAACAAGGAATTTCAAAGTAATTAAAAAAAAACTCTTTTTTCGAAATTTTTCGTTTTCGATAACTCTCGAACGAATCAACCGATTTCGACAGGACTGGTGGCAATCGACGTGGTTTTTCAAGCTTACGATCGGGTTAGTTTTTGGAATTGATCGGTCGAGCCGTTTCGAAGTTATTCCAAGAAAACGATTTTTTGAAAATTTTATTTTTGAGATTTCTCAAAATCTAGCGAACCGAATCGATTCAAATTTTAACGAAATTTAACGAAATTTAATGGCAATGATACTCTCTGGATCGCCATCGATTTCGATCCGATCGGTTAAGTCGTTCAAAAGTTATAAGAAGTTTACATACATACACACATACACACATACATACATACACAAACACACACACACACACACACACACACACACACACACACACACACACACACACACACACACACACACACACACACACACACACACACACACACACACACACACTTATTATTATTATTATTATTATTATTATTATTATTATTATTATTATTATTATTATTATTATTATTATTATTATTATTATTATTATTATTGTTATTATTATTATTATTATTATTATTATTCAGGCGTTTAAAATCGGATCGAATTTTTATTTCTATTTGATCGTATTTTGAACTTCAGAGTGGTAAAAACAGAAATTTGTACCACTGTGGAGATCAAAATACGATCAAATTTAACTTGGGAATTGATCGTACTTTGAACTCCCTGATCCGAAGTTGATCGGACCTTAGGAGGATCAAAATACGATCAAAATTTCGACTCGGGATTACTTTGAATTGCGTGAGAACTATGAGTTTAAAAATTTTTCCACCGGGAGTTCCAAAAACCGGGAATTTTCTCAAGAGAACTTTTTTTTTTATCTTGATATTATTTTAACTCAAGCGAAACCCGTCAAAAATTATTACAAAGTTTAAAAATTTTTTTAACTTCCTCAATTTTTGTTAGAAGTATATTGCTTCAACTAACAATGTCTCTTTTTTGGGTGATTTGTTCCTCTCTTTGGGTTCTTTCGTAGACTTATCGGTAAGAAAATGTTATTTTTTTAACGATATTTTATTTTCGAATGAAGAAATTTTTTTTTCACTTTTTCAGGGAGTACCCCATTTCGCCTGCAAAATATAAAAATTTTTTTTCTATGGCAACTTGAAATTTGATTATTGTTTTTTAATTACGACTGAAAACGAGAAAAATCAGCGTATTTAAGTTCGAAAATCATAGCGATTTCTTAAGTACCCCATTTTGCCCCCCCCCTCCTCTATAAAATATATGAAAAATTGATGTGGGTACTCAAATGAAAGGTCTCGATAAGTGTAACATCAGGATGAGCTTATATCTTTAAAAATGTCAATAGTTCTCAAGTTAAAAGGTAATTTCTTAATTATTTAGATTTTGAGGGATATAAGCTCATCTCGATGTTACACTCATCAAGAGTTTTCATTTAAGAACCCACATGCATTTTGATATATTTTTCATATATTCATATATATAATATATATAAATATATGAAAAAATGATGTGGATACTTAAATGAAAGGTCTTGATGAGTGTAACAACGGGATGAGCTTATATATTTAAAAATGTCAATAGTTCACAATATACAAGGTCATTTCTTAATTATGTATTTAGAAATAGAGCATTTTCGAATACAGCTTAAATACTTATCATCATAATTTGACTATTGGGGAGAATGATATGAAACCATGAAAAAACACAACTCCAGGTCAAAACTTTTCCAACGATACCAAATTTAACCATAAAACTTTTACTTTACTCCGTAAAATAGCATAATATCAAAAAAAATATACTTTAAAATATTTATTTCTACGCGTTTATATTTAAAATCTAATATTGTACAAGCCTGAAACTAAACAATCAAATTATATTAATTAATGAGAAATTTCAAGAAATACATTTACACGTTTGATGGTGTAAAATTTAGAATTCACACCGTTTAAATTTAACATTACACTTACTGTGATTTTCACACCGTCCGTGTTAAAAATTTTTACACCGAATCATTTACACCACACCGAGTCCAAAAAATTTTTTACAGTGTAACTACTATATAGTTTCTAAACATTTATTACTGTAAATATTTAATAACTTGTTGTATATTTATTATATTAAGTTAATTTATGTTTTATTTGATTTCAGTCTAATTGTAAAATAAACATTAATTTTATCAATTTCAATTAATATCTAATATTATTTAGTGTTTCATAAATTCTTTACTGATAATACACCGATACGGAGTTACTGTATACCGCTGTAACACCGATTTAACACCGGTAACACCGATTTAACACCGAATTTTTAACACTGCCGAGAACCATTTTAACACCGGTGTTAATTGACCGGTGTTGCACAGCAGTGTTAAAATGAGTCCATTTTAACACCGCTTTTTTTACAGTGTGTAAATTTTTCCAAGATTGATTTGTAACAATTAATTTGCTGTAAAACTTTAAAAAAATATGAAATTTCGACTAACTTCAGTATCATAAATTCCTTCAACAACGAATAGTCTAAAAATATTAATAATCATTTAGCTAATTGAATTTTTATTCTCAAATGATACTAAAAGTAGCAGACAAACTATTTTTAACTTTACTCACAAGTAATATTAGAATTAAATAAAAATTTTAATTTCTCATTTCATTTTCCAAATCTCTAACTTGTAAAATTTTTTCTTTTTGGTTTTTTTTATAATAAGTTTTTAAAAAACAAATTTCAAAAAGTTCCCGAGGTCAATTAGTTTGATTTCCTTTAAAAAATGATACTGAAATTATCAATCGTTGAATGATTTTAGATTTTCTTCATCAATTCAATTAGAATAAAAAAGATATTAAAAAAAAAATTTTAGATACCGTCTAGTTTCAATTTCATATTTCTTTGCAATAATTTTTCAAATAAGAAAAATCATAAAAATTGTCAAACGTCCGCTAATTTTAATATGATATTAGTATTGCAAATTTTTTGGTTAATAATATTATAATATTAAATTATTCTTTAGCTTTAAAGACGCATGATCAATCTCAATCGGGATTGAAATCACTTCAAAATAATATTTCGAGGAACAAACGCAAGCTAGCTAAAACCGCAGCAACTAAAGGTAATAAAATTTTTTTATTAAAAAAGTCAGATTAAAAATATGAATTGAAAAGTAATTGAAATAAGGAGCCTTCAATTCTTTTCAACACTTAAAAATATTTTTTAATTTCATGTTCAGTACAAAATTAAATTAGGAATTATTTTTGTTATCAGGAAATATTTTAAATGATGTAGAGTTGAGTTCCGAAGATGATCTAGAATCAGATGATAGTGATGACAAAGTGATAAACAAAGCGGACGGAGCAGTATACAAAAAAAAAAAATAAAAACAATATTTTTTTGCGTATGAAAAATCTTGAAAATAAAGTTCGTCAATTGGTAAAAAATTAAAATTTTTCTATTCTCATTAACTAAAGTATATATACTTGACTAAGAGAAATAACTTATAATATATAATTTTTCAGATGCCAAAAGAAGAAATTGATGAGCGCGACATTAAAGACTCAAAAATTGCAAAAAAATTACGTTATATTCCAAAAGAGGAAAATCCACCACCTACATTTATCAAACATGTAAATCGCGAGTATTACCCCCGTTCGAATCGTGCGATGGGTTACCAAACTCGCCCGTATGAACGTCCAAATAATAATTACCGTCAATCAGGCCCCGGACAGTTTCATTATAACCAAGGTAATTGGCGAAAACCTCAATATCGTAATAATTACGAACCGCGATCATTTCAACCTTACGAAATACCCAGGAGCAGCAACAACCAAGAAAATTACAATAATTACAATCATTTTCGCGGTAATCAATATAACCGACCTTATTATAGATGTGGATATTTACCTAAGTGGCGATCTGGTAATTACAGTAATAGTTACCCACAAAATAAACACATAAAGCAAAATTATCATAATTTCTAAACTAAAAACTACAAATGTAAACCAATCGTAAATTTAATTTTTATTTTAATTTTTTACTACTTTTAATAATTTCAACAATGTTTTTTTCATAACTTCAATATAATTAAATAATTACACAAATGTATGGTTTTAACAATAGTTTTTAAAAATTTTATGTTCACTATCAAGACAATAAATAATAAAAAAAAATATAGACAATTGAGTTTCGATTGATGTCATACACAACAAGTATTCACAACATTGAACACATTTCAATACAAATATTTTTAAATTGAAACAGGCCTATAATATATTCTTCTGTAACGTTCTTCGTTAATGAAACCTTATAGTATAGCTATAGTTATAGTTAACAATAATACTTTATAATAAATATTGGTAAAATAATAATAACAATACTGATAGTTGATTATCCAACGAGTGAAATCAGTATGGAACTCAGAAATTCGAAATTTTTGTTTTGAATTACGCGCGTAGTCTGCGTGGCGACCTCTGCATGTCGTATCAACTATAGAGCGTGTTCAGCCGAACTAAGTCCTGAGTAAACTTAGTAAGATATGTATAGTATAGTAGATAGATATATGTATAGCAGGGAATGCTTTGACTATACTTAGGCTAACTAAGTTTACTCAGGACTTAGTTCGGCTGAACAAGCTCATAGTATACAGCGCTCAGAAAGCTAATGGCGGCCATATACTCGCTATAGTTATATAATGAATGTTTACCAAGTCTGAAATATCCACACGGTGTAAATTTAATAGATTAAATTGAAATTGTAAATATCCTACCGGTGTTGAACTAATTGAATTAGTGAAAAAGTTACTATAGAATAAAGAATTGCATGATTCACTGATAGCAAAAAAATTAATAAAAAAGTCAAGAAGCACAGGATACCGTCAAGCATGGACTGAGTATTTTTCGTTTAAGACAAAAAGAAACATCAACACCAGAAAACCTGGACAAAAAGTTAACTTTTAGTTAATAATAACAATATTGCATGTAAGTAATCCTGTCAATAATTTATTTTTTTACCTTATATACTGTTAGGAACGATTTGTATGTACAGTGTAACGGAGTACACGGGGCCTTCTTTACCCAGAGAAGGTTTCCGATCCGTGAGTTAGTTATCGACTGATTCCCCAGAGCACTGTGCTCTGAAGTACTCGCGCCTCTAGTTGTAAGTTAGTGAGTAAGTCCCCAAGAGGGAAGCGCCGGCGCGGAGAGTGAGTGGGGAAGACGGAGCGAAGAAAGAAACGCACCGACAAAGCTGAGAAAAGTCATTGTGACCGAGTCGCCAAACCGCGTGGACACACAAATTAAGTAAAAACACCATCAAACAGGTAATTATTTATTTGTCGCCTTTCGTACAGTGGAACGAAGCGATCAAACTTATTCATTTATTGCTTGCCAGGCCTTTAGTCGGCTTGCGTAAATTAATCTTAAATTCTAACAATTTCTAATGCTTGATTGCGGTTTCAGACTCATAAAATATTCGGAGAAACGAGTGACGGTGACCGAGGTCTCGCGGCCAAGCAGAGTTTTTCCACTGAGGAGGAATTTGTACCAGAACAGACGTGAAGGAGTTGCTGCTCTTCGAGGGAGCTCGCCAGCGTCTCAAAGAGAAAAGCCCCAGGTAAAAATAAAATGTCTCGATAATCCCTCGGTGGTGCGGCATCAGCCAGGCATTGAAGTCGGCTAAAGGTCACCGCCACTTCGCGTTCGGTCACAATCATTAGTTTAAGTATTGTGTCGTAGAATTTACTTAATTATTATGTGGAAATTTATTTATTAGAATTTACTCGGTATATTATTTGGGATACTATTTAAAATATTATTTAGAAAATGTTTGAGAATTTATTGGAAATAAGAGGCAGAGTTTATTTAAGAATTTATTTGAGAGAAAAGTCCAGAATAAAAATTAGACTAAAATTAAAAGCAAGTCAAGAATAATTATTAAATAATTAATTAACAAAACCAGGAATTATTTCGGATTGTTAATTTACTACGTAGGCAGAGCTTGAATTGGTTTTACCAGGAATAACTTCGGTTGGTCAATTTATAACTTTGGTGCCATGTAAAATTAATTGTCGTTAATAATCGAGTTTGGAAATTTATTTAATTAATTGCTTAGAGTAGATTCATTAAAATATTTCAGAGGAATTTTAGTAAAATCATTTGAAGTAAAATTTATTAAATTCGGAAAAATAATTTATAACAAAAATTTAATTGTGTAAATAAAATCATTTGCAATAAATTTAGAATCAGTCAAAATTGCAAGAAAATTGTTCATGTAAATTTATTAATTGAAAGTAGAAAACGAAACTTGTAAAAATTTGTTTGAGAAAAAAAATTACCAAAGATGTGCGACAAAGACGCCAGACCGAGCGAGAGCGTCAGCCATCTTGTCCCGCGCGAAGCGCTGAGTAGAGGACATTCAAAGTCGAGATTAAAATCGTACTGTGTTGCTAGGCAGAATATAGTCCTCAAACAAAATAAAATAAATGCTAAGGTTTTCATGCAACACAATAGAACGTAAAATAAAATAACGTAGAGAAAATAAAACTCGATTATTGAAGGACAAGCCAAGCAGTTTAGTAAAAATAACTTACATGAAATTAATTGATAAAATTTTAGTCATTGAAAGTTAAGATCTTAATTAAATAAAATAATCTGGACAAAATAAATAATTCCATAAGTTCGGATTAAAATAAAATAAATTAATAGATTCTGGTAAAATGAATTAAAATAACTTGGAAAATAATTAATAAATTCTAGTAAAATAAATTAGACAAAGCCAAGTAATTTAACACAACAACTTATAAAAATAAATTAAGTAAATTCAGTACATTAAAATTGTAACTCTCGGAAGTAACCAACACGTTGTTGGCAGATTATTAAGACCTCTGTCAATGGATTTGAACCTATTAATACAAGATACGAAGACCTCTTGATATTAAATATTTAATTGTTGTTTTATTAAGACCACGACATTAAATTAGTTAGTGATTTTAATTTAAAATTAAGATTAGGAATTTTAGAAATAAATTAGGAACTCGGCTTTTGTAAATTGTTGAAGGGATAAATGGATCCAGGCATCGAGTCGGATTTCATTTGAATTTGGAAAATAAATTTGTAGAATCCGGAGTAATAATTAGTGGGTTTGGAAATAATCATGTGGGTGGGTTTTAGTGTTAAGTATTGTAGTGTTGCCTAGGGATTCATGGTATCCTCTTCTGCTTCCTGGGCACACTTAGAGTCCTTTGCATAGACGCCCGGGTCGGGGGTGCAATAGGCATAAGCATTTTAAATAAATATTGTGGGTTTGTTTGGAAAAAGGGAAAGATTATTGTAGCGTAGCCTAGGGATTCATGGTATCCTCCTCTGCTTCCTGGGCACGCTTAGAAGCCGTTGTATAGACGCCGGATTTGGGGTACAACGGTAGTAAGCTAGAAACCGCGATAGGACGCTCCATAAGAGGATATTGTCGGGATTAAGTTAATTTGATATTTTGTAAGAGGTTTCGATTTTGTATCGAGGGTTGGATAAATAAAATGGATTGTAAAAGTGAATTTCTGACAATAATTTCTGTATCCTTCCTGATAATCTCTCCGACCCTGAGTTCTCACTCCTTGTTCTGGGCCAGTTTCTGGATACTGTGGGAAAAATCCAGTGGCGCCTTAAATAAATTAAGAGGCGACCAAAAGAGCGGTGAATACCCGTTACAACAGGAAAGTGCCAATGACTGAATATCTCATTTAGAACTTTATCAATATATCGATATAAATCGAACAGGATAAATTCATTCGAGAATTTGGATAGGGGGCGCGTGAATGCGCGCCGTTAAAAATTCTCGTGAATATATAAACAACATTAATAAAACAAACAAATTACTTATAAGTATAATTAAATAGTAATATAAATAAAATAAAAAAGCACGTAATGGATTCTGAAGAGGTATTATTTACAAATTTCATTATTTAACGATAGTTAATGTATATATTCACATTGAAAACATGAAATTAATAAAAAAAAATGTCATCTTTTTAACCTTAAAATGAATTAAACTTAATATATTCCTAAAATGAATTAATTTTCATTTAATGTTAAAAAAAAAGTAAACACATTAAATATTGAACAATTTATAATATAATAATATCGATTGAAAAATAAAAAACCCAAGAAAAGTATGCTTATTCAATATCTACCGTTTATTTATATACATCGATATATCTAAACATACCATTTACATTGAAGACCAGTTTTTCAATTACTGATTAATTTATAATTATAATTATTGGTTTATCTATAGATAAAATGAAATATGTTAAGACTAAAAAACTGGTCCTGAGTCGAGTCTTTTTAACATTTTTAAGTTGGTCTTGTTTATTAATGAATGTTTCTTTTTTAATCAGGAATTAAAAGTGGTATTTACCTGTGATTTGTGTGAAACCATCTGTGAAAATTACGTAGATCATCCGTGTTTGGAGCCTTACAATGACGTTTATCTTGATGAAAACTATTATTTTTATCCTTTACTGGGTAAGTAATTTGATAGCTTTGTATAATATATTAACTATAGAGAACCGTTAAACCAAAATTAATATTACATTCTTTGACCGATGATAAAAAGACCATAATTCGCCAAGCACTATTCGCAGATGGGTCAGAAAAAATTATAAAAGAACTATTGAACGTACCAGATGGAAAAAAAGACAGCTCAACTTCATGTAAGATAATATGTATGAATTCATAATTTTACCGAAATTAGGAAAATTTGATACCTGACTTATTTTAATAATTAAAAGGCTTGTTAATAACAGCTCAGTAGTGTAATTTCTCTTAATTCTTGCAGTTGAAGCTTCTCAGTACTCAAATACCAAAAAAGGTGGAAAAAAAAAACGTGCAACCGCGCTAAAAGGGCCTCAAGAAGATAAGTTAAAAGATGACGATATAGAAATACTGCTTTTAGACTGCTACTAAATTACTTCTTGACTAAAACAAGTTTTCTTTTTTTTTTTATCAACATCGTCAGAACACTTAGAATTCGAAAGATTGAGACAATCTACTAACATTTCGCGTCTGAGTGCTTCACCTGCTCCTCTGTTCACCTGAACCTCTTTGAATCCGCAGGTTGGATTTGCTTCCTCAAAACCTGGCTCATGTTTCTCTTGCTGGTATTTGCACTAGTATTGGGATTGCCAGCCCTCTGCTCCATGATAGGCGAACACATGGAAGGCATCTGCTGAGAACAGGAAATTTTCTTCATCTGCGAAGCTTTCTTCCCATTCATAAAAAACTGTTTCTGCTTTTCTTTTTCTCTTTGGGCAATCTGCGGATGCTTCCCAGCAAACTCTTCCATATTAATAGCCGCACATTTAGTCGCATTATGAGTTTTGAAAATTTCCACAATCATAGTCAGCTCGAACATCTCGGATCACAAACTCACCACAATAAACTGGACATTTTTAGTCCTGTCCTTAATATAACTCCCTACAATAGACACATTTTTAAAATCCATGACCGCATCAATCTCGTCCATAAAATACAACGGTCTTGGCTTATAACAATGAAGAGCAAATAGCGCCAAAGAGCTCAGTGTTTTCTCGCCTCTACTCAAATTAGTGATATTCTTTCAGGATTTTTTGGGTGGCCTAACACTGAAAACGACTCCCTCCGTGAAAGGATCCAAAGAATCAACAAACTCCAAATCCGTAGCCTTACCGAGCATTATCATCTGGTACATTTCTTTCAACTTAGAATTATTAACCGAAAACCCGGAAAAAAATTATTCGTGCCTCCGTCCCTTAACCATATCATAACTCGTCCTAATCTTATTCTTCGCCGGAGAAGCTTCTTTGACCTCTGCTGAACGCTTTAAAAATAACGCATCTTTCTACGAAAAATTATTAATCGCCTGCATATTGGGAACCTCTTTTGGAAGCCTTTCTTTATCAGTTGCTAAATTAGCCACCAGAGTCCTGGTATCCAGATTCTCAATATCTTAATCCGTCAACGGGTTTAGCTCATCAACAACTTCCCCCGGAATTTCATTAATTTTCAAGCCAACTATTATTAAAATAAGTCACAGGTTGACTCAAGGGAAACGATTTATTTTTGTTAATTTATAAAATTGTAATTATTATTATTATTATTGAAATGAAGAACTGATAAACTTAGATGCGTTAACAGAGCACTGTTTGCTTATTTTTTCCCTTCAAAAAACTTTTCTTATTTTTCATCTTTTGTTTTCGCGTTGTAGCGACTCATTTTTTTTCGATTTCATTTGTTTTTTTGAGCTGGAATTAATCAGCTGTTAAACATCTTTTGACCCGTCCGAGTTGATAATTTATTAATTTAATTAATAATAATTATTATCTTATCAATTAACCGGAATAAATGAACCTTCGACACTCTCTCGATTCTTGTTAGTTGACCTATGAATTATTTTAAAAATAATAATTATTATTTTATTAATTAACTGAAATACATGGGCTATCGATACTCTCTCGTTTCTCTTGAGTCAACCTGTGACTTATTTTGATAACAATAATTATTATTTTATTAATTAACCAAAATAAATCAGCTGTTGACCATCACGTGATCGAACTGCGTTAATAATTGTTTAATTTCACCAATAATGATCGTGATTTGATTAATTCACTTAAAGAAATCGGACGCCCAGTACATTATTCCTAACCATTAATTTTGTATTTAAAATTATTTGTTATTAACAAAATAAAATTACAATTCATCGACGGCTGCCTAGTTCTACTGCTTAACCTCCGCTCCTAATTTTTTTAATCGATAATTACCTTAATTTCTGTAGATAAAAATAACGATTCTGTCTCTTACTAACTCTTGCTAATCACTCCAGTATTCAAAACAAAAAATTAAAATTTTACTCATTTTCTAATTAATAATTATTTTTATTACTCTAATAAAAAATAATCTAATGTCGTCCAGATCCTTTTACTAACCCTCGCTACTGATTTTTTAATTAATAATTATTTTCATTACTTTAATTAAAAATAAAAAATCAACTACAGACGTGTAGAGCTTTTTAGTGACCCTTGTCACTGATTTTTTTATTTGAAATTATTCTCATTATTCTAATAAAAAATAAAATTCAGTCTTAGGTGCCCAGAGCTTCTTACTAACTCTCACTACTGATTTTTTAATCAATAATTATTTTTATTATTCTAATTAAAGATAAAAAATCAGCTACAGACGTCCAGAGCCTCTAACTGACTCTCGCTACTGATTTTTTAATTAATAATTATTTTCATTATTTTCATTAAAAATAAAAATTTAATCACAGCCGCCTAAAGCCTCTTACTATCCCTTACAACTGATTTTTTAAATAATAATTATTTTGATTATTCCAATTAAAAATTAAAAATCATCTACAGACGTTCAGATCCTCTTACTGACCCTCGCTACTGATTTTTCAATGGATAATTACTTCAATAATTAAAAAAAAAGAAAAAAATTTCTGGAACTGCGGCCTAGTTTCTCTGCTTGAGCCTTGCTATTGATTTTTTTAAATACAAATCTCTCTAATAATTCCCAACATAATCTACTGTTTTCGCCGTTTTATTTAACAAAATTTTGTGCCTGTAACAAATTAATAAAAACATCCTTACTTACATTCTTACGCGCATAGTTACTGACACACTAACGCTTGCGTACGCTAGCGTACAGTCTCACACATTAATCTAGCATCACGTACGTCCGCCGTCTACGGTCGGTCCGTCCCCACTCTCGGTCTACTGCGTGCGAAGCCGGCAGCATCTCTAGCGTCTCACTCTCGCATTACCCACTGCCTTCTCACTCAATTTTTATTCTTCTCTAGCGCGCTTCTGATTGGTCACTTTCATTAATTAATAATTAATTATCTATCCGTCTGATTAAAAAATGGCTGAGGACTTTTCGTCTCAGAATAATTTCCTCTTTCGATCCCTACAAGGAAGTGCGTGACTTCTGGGACACCCTGTATAATCATGTATAATTATATCTAATTATATATAATTATATGCGATTATATATAATTATATTAATTTTTTTTTCAAAAATGGATAAAAAAATTGTTTTTTTTTTTTTTTAATTATATTGAAACTAATGCGATTCGGAGTATGATGTTGTAATCAGAAACAATTTTATTTGATGAAAAATTCCGGGCGTCCGCTGGATTCGAACTCGACTCCTCCTGGTTATCAGTACTACACGCTGCTCACTGATCTGAATCACCTACTGTATACGACAAAATCTATTGAATTTATTTAAATTCAAACCCAAGAAAGATCAGATTTACACATAAATTTTATGAAATTTTTTAAAATCCTATAAAACTTAATGAAAGCAGTACATTTTTAATAGATTGTTTATTTTGACTATTTTTAATTTTTATACTATTTATTTTCTATCGAAAATGAATTGTATTTTTCAATTAAAGAATTGAAAGTTGAACATAATAAAATGATCAGTAATTTAAATATGCAAGCAGTAGTAAAACATATTATACCAGTTACAGAATCTGAAAATTACTTGTTAATAAAAGTGAGAGAAATACAAAGTGTTTTGCAGTTATTAAGAGTAGGAGATTTAGAGATTTTGTATGTAAGAGACCAGATAATTCAAAGAGAAATATGTAATTTTATTATAAAATTGGATTTAAATCCCTACTAATATTATAAATGTGAATGTAAGTTTGTTTGTTTGTTACGCTTTCACGCAAACAACTACTTAACCGATCATCATGAAACTTTGTACACATATTCTTGGAAGTATTAGAAGTATTAACATAGGATACTTGTTATTAAAGAAAAAATTCATTTTTTACGAAAGATAAAAAAATTGTTTGTCAAAAAATTTGAATCACATTGATTCAGTTCTATTGGAATGTAATGATCTTTGATATTTATCGAAGGACTTCAACGCGAGCGAAGCAGCGGGTAAATGCTAAGTAGTTAAAAATAAAATTATTGTTTATAAAAAAGTAATCTTTGTCATTACTTTTTTCAACTTTAAAGATTCATTATGATTTTTATTTAATCATACGAAAAATAAAAAAAAATCATTATCTATAATGTCATATAATTTAATATGATATAATTTGATATAATTATACATAATTGTTTATATTTATACAAAAATAACGAAGAACATCATACATAAATTTTTAAAATTATACATAATTTTATATAATTATATATAATTCTACATAATTATAAGCAATTATACAACCATAACCAAAATAAAATGTAGGATTAGGTATAATTATATATAAATGGTTAAACACGAGAAAAACATTGTATGAAATTATATAGAATTATACATAATTCTATATACTTTTACATAATTATGTAGAATTACACATAATTTTGCATAATTATATAAAATTTTATATTATAATATATAATTTTGCGTTGTTATAAATAATGATACAAAAATTATCTAAACTATTATATAAAACGATATATAATTATATATGATTATGCATAATTATATATAAATATACAAAATTAAGGAAAAAATATATCCAGAATTATATACAATTATATATAACTCTGAATAATTATACATGAATCATATAGAATTATATATGAATCATATATAATTATATATGATTCGTGTATAATTCTGTATAATTATATATGATTCATGTATAATTAT